TCCCCCCATCTTCCAGAGACTTGGGGAAAAGTTGACCTGCAATCTCTTCGCATGAGATTGCAGAGGGAAGCCAGACACTCACGAGGACCCACAGTGCGGGCTCAAGGAAACATCCCACACCAGTAAATACTCATGGTGCTCACAGGAGGGGAAAGTGGCTCCCGGGGAGGGATGCATGGGGAGGAAGGGGCATTGTGGGGGGTTCTTGCCTCCTTCCTCCCTCCTCCCCCACTCCCCCCACCCCACTGGGTCCCAGCTAGATCAGGGCAGCTGAGCCGTTCCAGCAGGAATTGCTCAGGATGCCGCGGGCAGCTTGGCGCTTCTTTCCCTGCTGGTTATATGTGAGTGTAAAATGCACAGTGGCGATAATAAGAATTATGGACATCTGTGTCCCAAATAGGCAAAAGAGAAACGGCTGGAGATACGAAGAAAATCTCATGTTAATTCACTGTCCTCTTTACGCAACAGGTAAAAGGTAGAGAAGTTTTTCACAAGACCATCACTAACTCCCAATTGCCAGTTTCATATACTGGTATCCCATACCCTGCATTGCTGAGGGTGATTGATGCGACTTTTATGTCGAATGGAGACGTTACTGGGCCCACTCGAGCAAATCGACGATCAACGGGAGGGCCTTTACCTTTTACCTTTACCTTTATGTCCAAAAGACCCGCATGTTTCCTCATGCGGACAGTAGGGGGCGCTGCGTTGCTGAGGGCCAGCTCTGCTCCTGCGAGGACTCCAGGTCCCCCGTGGCCAGGTTTCTCTGCTCCCTCCCTTCCCCGGTACTGTCGTTGCTTGCACAGTTGATGCGCTACAGCGGGGTTCCGGGGAGAGCAAAGGGGAAGACGCTTCCTTCAGGTCCGCTAGGTAGCACCGAGAGCCACGCTTTGGGCTGGCCTTCCTGCAAGGGACGCTGGGAAATGTAGTTTCCCGATGAGCTCGGCAAGAAGGGCTGAGTTCCGTTATGCACCCAGGAAGAACGGGCAACTGATAGGGTGGAAACGGGTGTCGGTATTTTAGAAAACTATTTGGGAAGTGCCAAGTTCGTTTCACATACACTCTGTGACGCACTCCTGCTGGTTCGACAGGCTCAACAGAAGCTTTTACCAAATGAGAGACTCGTTTTCAACAACAAAAATAAAATCTCCCAAAACCCCAGGAACTAGGGGCTGGGTGATGGCTCAGAGGGATGGAGCACAGGCCAGGCTTGCCGGATCCCTGGGTTCTATCCTCAGCACCGCACGGTCCCCCAAACACCATGCCTGGATTGATTCCTGAACAACACAACTAGAGCAATCTAACCAGAGCCTGAGTCGTCAGACTAAGGTGGGAGCCCACTCCGGCCCCCACCATGGAAGGAATGGACTAGAATATGAGCAGCAACGAATGCTCCTAAGGGCTCCAAACCGGGAACGGCCCAGCTTTCCACCCTGACCTAGAAGTCTTGACATAGTGCAGTGCAGTGAAAACTATGCAGCACTCGCATGGGATTGCAGAAGGAAGCCAGACACTCACGAGAACCCACAGTGTGGACTAAAGGAAACATCCCACACCAGCAAATGGTCATGGTGCTCACGGGAGGGGAAAGTGGCTTCTGAAGAGGGTGCATGGGGAAGAAGGGGCCTTTGGGGGTTCTGGGGTTCTTGTCTCTTTCCTTTTCTCTTGGGGAGACAATTACTTGGAGGTGACCATGCAGTGGAGAGGTGTCGTGCTATGGCCACTCTTCCTTATAGGTATTCCATGTCCATGAATGATTTAATTAACAAAATGAATAAAAGACAAAAAGATGTTCGTGCGTGGAGAGATACATCATGTTTGAGGAAGGAGATCCAACACCATGACATTGTAATTCTCTCTGAGCTAATTGGCAATTATAGTTTGATTCTAGGGAAAACAGTAATAGTTTTTGTTGAACTAAGTATGTTGATCCCAAAGTTCACTGGAAACATTTACTCTAGAAAAAGGAGAGAGGGAGAGGGAGAGAGGGAGAGGGAGAGAGGGAGAGAGAGAGAGAGAGAGAAAGAGAGAGAGAAGAGATAGAGAAGGGGGGGGAGAGAGAAAACTCACTAATGGGAAGGTCCAATTACCAAACCAGATCTTAAGCCTCTTCAGCCATCAAAACCTTGAGCCATGTGGTGGGAAATATTCACAGGTGAAGGGACAGGAGCTGAAACATTGTATGTTCATGAACAGATATAATCATGAACAACCTTGTAACTGTGTATCTCACTGTGATTCAATTTAGCACTGTAGCACTGTCTTCCCCTTGCTCACTGATTTGCTCCAGCAGTACTAGTAAAGTCTCACAACAAATTGTGAGACTTGTTGTTACTGCTTTTGGCATATCAAATACATCACAAGTAGCTTGCCAGGCTTTGCCATGAGGATGAAATACTTTTGGTAGCTTGCTGAGCTCTCCGAGAGGGGCAGAGGAATCGAACCCAGGTTGGCTGTGTGCAAGGCAAGTGCCCTACCCGCTGTGCTATCGCTCCAGCTCGTGATTCAATTTAAAAATAAATAAATAAAAATAAAAAACATTTAACAACAACAACAATAACAACAAAAGCCATGAGCTATGTTGGTGTGACTCACTCATGAGTTATAAAGTAAATCACATAAATTGGAAACCCAGGAAAAGGCCAAATCCTGAGGTGTATTTAGTATTGGATCTGTTCGCTCCGGGAACATGAATGGCCTCAAACCGATCATTCATGATCTTGACGAAGAAGTCTGACCATCTGGTAGGTGGGCGGCCACGCGGTCTCTTGACATCCCGTGGAATCCATTCGGTAACAGCTCTAGTCCAGCGGTCGTCTTTAAATCTCATTACATGTCCAGCCCATCTGATTTTTGACACCTTGGCAAATGAGACAGCGTCCCTGATTCTTGATCGTCAACGGAGGTCAGAACTCCGGATTCTTTCTCTCATTTGAGTGAAACGTGATATTCCAAGCATAGCTCTTTCTATTCTTCTTTGGGAGACCTGAATAGCGAACAGATGCCATTGGGCTACACTAGCACGCGACGGGGACAAATGGAGACGTTACTGGTGCCCGCTCGAGCAAATCGACGACTAACAGGAAGTTAAGTGATTTAGTATTGGATAAAGTGTGCCCAAACCAAACTTGTGAGGAAAAGCTGAATCAGTCGATAAATGGTACTGGGCCAGCGAGATGGCATGGCAAGGGGTTAAAGTCTGTTGCCTACTTTGTACCTAAGCTATGTGGCAACATAATCAAAGTGTTTATTCTATTTTATTTTTGAGGGGGAGGCATGTGCAGCCATGCTCAGGGCTTACTCTTGGCTCTGCACTCAGGAATCACTCCTGGCAGTGCTCAGGGGACCCTCTGGGGCACCAGGGATCGTGCCTGGGTCAGCCATGTGCACGGCAAGAGCTGACCTGCTGTATTATCACTCCAGTCCCGGAGTCAAAGGTTTTAAGGTGAAAAAGAAGTCATAAGCCTTTCTGAAAGTAACACAGAAGAACGCGAGGATAAGTTCTGAAAGACTTGAGGATCTAGCAACTCTCTCTCAGTCGCAAATCTAGAAGCCATCACAAACGGGGCCATGCCTGCTGATGTGTCCCAGCTAAAAACGTCCCATCATTGCCTCAGCTAATGCAAAAGACAAAGGGCCAGCTGGAGAGAAGCTTGCAATGCACAGGAGGGACAAAATTGGGCTAGTTTTGCTCCTGAGAAACAAAGAAATTGATGAGTCAAACAACCCAACACAACAATAGGCAATGAATGTGAAAGGAGAGAAGGAGAGGTTTTTTTTTGGGGGGGGGTACTTCCCCAATGGTACTGAGGACCACCAGGGCCCAGTAGTCTTTGGGAGGTCATGGGGTGCCAGGGAGCATATCCGGAGCTCTGTACATGCCAGAAATGAGCTCCAGCCCTGTGAGTTGTCTCCCAGAGCCCCCACAGACCGTTTGCAGAAAAGTCCCAGTGTGCTTTACACATGCAAAATGACACTGAGCTCACTGGTAGAAGGTCTGGGCCCATGAAACTATGACCACGTGTCCTCTCCCTCATTGAAGATGCCAAAGGGAGGTGGCACTATCGGCGGGGGAGTCTGGGAGAGGGTCCTTTGCAGGATGGACAGTGTTCGAAAGTGTCTCATGGGGCTGCACTGCAGAGAGCAGTGTGACCACGTCCACCCTGATGCCAGGTCTGGTTTGGCTTGAGTCAGCCACCCTCTCCCCTGTGGGCATGCATCCTACAGGACTCCTCGCCCACCTGCAATATCCGCCCCTGACAGTTATTTGTACAGTGTTGCTACTGTGAATGGCAGGGGCCATGCAGCATAAAATTATGGTCCATCCAGGGTCTGGTGAGATAATACAGTGGGTAAAGCACTTGCCTTGCACGTGGCTGACTTGACTTTGATTCCTGGCATCCTATACGGTCCCCAGGAGTGATCCATGAGCACAGAGCCAGGAGTAAGCCTTGACTATCAAAGGGTGTGGTCTAAACAAAAGCCAAAAAAAAAAAAACACCCAACAAGCTATGGTGCATCCAATAGCACACTACAGTCAGGAGAAAATATTAAGGTTTATTCAATCCTTTACAATTTGTGTCCACTGGAGAAAAGACGAAGAGTCAAGTCTCATGGTATGGCTCTGCAGAAATGTTGGGAAGTTCCTTGAGAATCACAGATGAGGGTGAATGTGAAAGAACTTTTCCTTATATTTGTCTGTTTTTATGTTGTTGTTGTTGTTCTTTTAATTTTTGGTGTTGGCAATTTGAACCAAGTTCATTGCTGAAATGACTACATGCAAGGAAAGTGGTTTACCTCCTCTATTTTCTCTCTGGCCTGAGTTAGTTTTTTGTCTTTTGTTGTTTAATTTTGTTCTGTTGTTTGGCTTGCTCAGGGATCACTCCTGGTAGTGCTGGGCTTGGCTGCACACAAGACAAGCACCTAAATCTGTATTAGCTGCTCAGCCTCTAGCTTTAGTTTCTGAAGCGTGTGAATAGATGCATTGCTCAGAAGTTACAAAGTGCTGGCTTCGGCAGCTTATATCCTAAAGTTGGAAGGACACAGAGAAGATTAGCCTGGTCCCCGTGCAAGGATGACATGCAAATTCATGCAACATTCTGTGTGTGTGTGTTTTTTTAATTATAATGAAATTGAAAAGAAAACTGCCTGGGGAAGCACATTATGCTTCATACACTAATTTTTAATCTGGCGAGCACACCAAGAATACCCAAATTTTGGGGCCAGGGAAATGATTCGAAGAGCTGGAGCACATGTTTTGAATGTAGGAGACCCAGATTCAATCCCCAGCACCACATGGTCCCCTGAGCACCACTGGGAGTGGCCCTGGAGCATCGAACTTAGAGGACCCCCTGAATAATCACTGAGTGTGGTCCCAACAAACCAAAACTCAAAACAAATAAATTTGGGGCTGGAGCAATAGCACAGCAGGTAGGGCATTTGCCTTGCACATGGCTGACCCGGGTTCAATTCCCAGTATCTCATATGGTCCCCTGAGTACCGCCAGGAGTAACTCCTGAGTGCAAAGCCAGGAGTAATCCCTGAGCATTGCCGGGTGTGACCCAAAAAGCAAACAAACAAAACAAAATGAAACAAACAACCCCCCCCTCCAAACACAAATGAACAAAATCAACCAAGACCTGACGGTGTTTTTCATCTGGTTCACCTCCCCCCCACCCCCATGTGTCCTCACTCACCTTCTCCCACAAAATGGGATTCTCCATCCACATCCAGGCACATTCTTGGATTGCCAGAGCCATGACTGTCACCCGCGCTTCCTCACCTACTCTCCCACCCTCTCCCCTGCTCGGACCCCAGGACCTCCGCCCTTTCCTTCCAGGCCTCATGATTCCTCTGGCAGCACCAGTCCGGAGGGACAGAGAAGAGCCACGTGTCCGTGTTCAGATGACACTCAGGGCAGATACTCTTTGGTCGCTGCAGGCTGAGAGTGAAACTGCCTTGAGCTACTGGCCACCTTTGGGGACCAGTGGGTGTCCACCATAGCAGGGAGCCACAGCTCCAATGCCAGAGCTCAGGGGTGGGCAGAAATGATTCTACTCATTGGGCAAGTGCCAAGCACAGGGTCATTGTGCGTGGACCTGCTCTGACTGTGCCCCATGTGTCCCCTTGTAGTTGAAGTCAGACTGAACTAGGGTTCTTCACAGCAAGCTCGGGAAGCCTCTTCTGGTGAACCCCACTCAGGGGCACTGATGCCACACACAGCTCTTCCCAGCTTGGTCACCCTACTGAGTGGGGCCCTGGTGGTCCTTAAGTAGCATCTTGTATGGGGGAGCTCTAACTTATGCCCCTGGGATCTTGATAGGGCTTGCTTTGCTTTTGTTTTCTGGGCCACTGCAGCAGTACTCAGAACTTACTACATAGCACTCCGACTTACTTGACATCCAGGGAGCACACCTGGAGGGGCTTGGGAGACCCTTTGGGGTGCTGAGGACTGAACCCAGGTGGGCAGTATATAAGGTAAGTGCCCTCCCAGCTGTGATGTGTCGCTGGCCCTGAGAGGAATTGCTTTATTTTTTTAATTTAAATTTTATTGAATCATCCCAAGATAGTTACAAACTTTCATGTTTGGGTTACAATCACACAATGATCAAACACCCATCACCCCACCAGTACACATTCCTCACCACCAATATCATCCCCGGTATACCCCCCCCCCCCCTTTCCCACCCTCCCAGGGGCTGCTTTTAAACTCCACATCACTTCAGGTAGTGTGGCCATCTTATTAATAGTCTGGAGCCCGGGATATTCTTACCGTGTCTTCCTTAGTTTCGTTTGCCAACATCTTGTAGATTTCAGAGTGGAGGTCTTAAACCCCTGGGTTAGAGTAAATCCTAAATATTTCATTGTTTTGAATGTTATTGTAAATGGGTTTGATTTCTTTATTTTTCAGAAATTTTGTTGTTAGTGTAGAGAAGGTTTACTTTGGCATGTCTGTTTTGAATCCTGTCTACTAAAATTAGCTATCACAGCTTCTAGGTGGAGTCTTTTAGGTTTCCTGCATGTAAAATTTTGTCATCTGTTATAGACAGTTTCTCTTCTTTCTTTCTTTTTCTTTCTTTCTTTCTTCTTTCTTTCTTTCTTTCTTTCTTTCTTTCTCCTTCCTTTTCCCTCCCTCCCTCCCTCCCTCCCTCCCTCCCTCCCTCCCTCCCTCCCTCCCTTCCTTCCTTTCTTCCTTCCTTCCTTGTCTCCTTGTCTTTCTGTCTTTCTCTTTTTCTCTCTTCTCTCTCCTTTCTTTCTTTTCTTTCTTTTTCTATTTTTGAGCGGGGTTTGGGGGCACACCTGGCAGTTCTCAAGGCTTACTTCTGGATCTGGGCTCAGAAATCATTCCTGGAGTTGCTCAGGGGACCATATGGGATATTAGGGAAAGTACCTGGATTGACCACATACAAGGCAAATCCCCCATCTGCTGTACCATCTAGCCCTCAGAGATACGTTTATTTCTTTTCCTCGATAGCTAGCTCTAAAATTTTCAGATCTATGCTGAACAGTGATTGGAGAGTGGACTTCACTTTCTTGTTCTTGATGATCAGTGAGAAGCTTCTAATCCTTCATCATGAAGTCTGCTGTGAGCTGGGGACTTGCAGCTCTCATTAAACTGAGGTAGATTCCTTTTCTGTCTGATTTAAGCACTTTTATTATTATTATTAATGGATGTTACGTTTTGTGTCAAACGCTTTTTCCGAGTCTATTAAGATGGTTTTTATGGGTTCCACTTTTCATTCTATTAGCACGGCAGATTACGTTGGCTGATTTGCAATGTCGAGCCATCCTTGCATCCCAGGGATAAATCCTATTTGATCGCGGTGAATTGTCCTTTTATCATGCTGCTTGTCAGTCTTTTTAATTGCAGCCATGCTGACGGCTGTCCTGTGTTGTCTTGTGCTTTGTTAATTGATATTTCCCCGAAGTCTAATGAGGTGGAGCATCTCTCCATGTGTGTATTTGTCATCTGGACATCCTCTTTGGTGAAGAGTCTGTGGAAACACTTGGCTGTTTTAAAATTTTAATATTCGTCTATTTTTAAAGACCAGGCTATTTTTGGACACATTACTATTTTTAATACCAGCCTATTAAAAAACACGAGCTACTTTAAATACCCAGCTATTTGTAACACTAGACTCTTTAGTGCTGTTTTAACTTCTGGCAGACGAGCATGCAGACCTACACATCTCATCATTCCTGCTGCTCCCCTTCTACTAACAGCAATCCTGTAATGCTCTCGCCAACTACCCTGCTCCAGGGGTCAAAGGACCAGCCTGGCTAATCTCTGCACTTCTTTTTTTTAAAAAAAATAATTAATAAATGATTTAATTTTGTGGCTTTTTTTTCTTTTTGGGTCACACCTGGCAATGTTCAGGGGTTACTCCTGGCTCTGTACTCAGAAATCACTCCTGGTGGTGCTTGGGGGACCATATGGGATGCTGGGATTTGAACCAGGGTTTGCTGTGTGCAAGGCAAATGCCCTATCCGATGTGCTATGGCTCCAGCCCCATGTAGCTCTTCTTTTGGCCACACCTGGAAATGCTCCTGGCTCTGCACTCTGGAATTACTCCTGGCGGTACTCAGGGAACCATATGGGATACCTGCTGTATCCCCACTTCTGATGGTCATTCTTGGTCTTGTACCCCAGGGTGCTGTAAGCTTAGGCCGTTTCTTGGGAACTGTCACTTTGGGACACTGAGCAAGTGGTTGCCCCTCCCTGGCCCTTGGGTGGATCAGCTCTACAGGAATGAGGTGGAGTCTCTCCTTAGAGCCTTCCCATCATCTCCACTTTCCTGCTTTGTGACCTGGGGCAAATGACCCATTTTTCTGTCTTTCCGCTTCTTCTATTTTTTGGGTGGGTGTTGAGGTGGGGGTTTGGGGAGGAAGACACACTTGGGATTATTCCTGGATCTGTGCTTGGGGATCATTCCTGTTGGACTCAGAGGCACGTATGGGGTGTCAGGGATCAAACCTGGGTTGGCTGCATGCAAGGCAAGAGCCCTGCTATGTTCTCTCTCTCTCTCTCTCTCTCTCTCTCTCTCTCTCTCTCTCTCTCTCTCTCTCTCTCCCCTCCTGTTTCTTCATCTTAATACGGGGATGATGGTACTCTGGTAGCACCTGCTCGCTATGACAGCCAGGTGAAGTGCATTAGGAAAGCACCTTGGAGCATTAGGGAAGCACACAGCGAGTCCTGAAGCCTGTGATTCCTCCTGGCCCATCTCAGACCCAGATCCCGCCTAGACTTCCGGCCGCCCCCGGCTGAGACTTCCCCAGCATTCTTTATTTATTTATTTATTTTGCTTTTTGGCTCACACCTGGCGATGCACAGGGGTTACTCCTGGCTCAGGAAATACCCCTGGTGGTGCTCAGGGGACCATATGGGATGCTGGGGATCACACCTGGGTTGGCCGCGTGCAAGGCAAACGCCCTACCCACTGTGCTATTGCTCCAGCCCCTCCCCAGGGTTCTTGCCGGCCCAGGTAAGCCAGCATACAGACCCCAAGCCCATGTCACTCCTCCAGCCGACACAGTGCAGGCTCCATGTCCTAATCTTTCATGTCTCTTCATTTTTGAAAAAATTCTTATTTTTTGTGGTCATACCTGGCAGTGCTCAGGGGTGTACTCCTGGCTCTGCTCTCAGGAATGACTCCTGGGGGGCTCAGGGGATGCTGTGGGGTGATGGAACCTGGGTGGGCAGCGTGCCAGGCACCGCCCTCCCCGCTGTCTCTCCAGCCCCACATTCCTGTCTCTTGTCCTTGTCACTTTCACTGTTACCACACTAATGTCCCACCACCTCGGCTCCCCCATCAGACCTGGGGCTCTCCCCAAGGCGGGGGCCACCCAGCAGAGGACACGGGTCCTGGGCCAGGCCTGGACTGACCGTGCTGGCTGACTCCTTCTATTTGCTAGGTCTCTGCTGTCAGAATCCTGGGGTGCCAGGGGTGCCAGAGGAGCCCCCAGCTCCAGGGGCCCCAACTGGCCACTCCCCTTCCAGTCAGGCAGGTCCGAGGCCCTTGAGGGACCTCGAACTCTGGGCACCCGTGGTGTAGCCTGCAGGCAGCGGAGCCGGCAGTGGAGTGTTCCCAGGGCCGGGGGGAGCACAGGGG